TCTCTCTCTCTCTCTCTCTCTCTCTCTCTCTCTCTCTCTGTGTGTGTGTGTGTGTGTGTGTGTGTGTGTCTGTGTGTATATGGCTTCTGCATGAGGTGCCCTCAGAAGTCAGATGAGTGGGGTCAGATACACTGGAACTGGAGATACAGGCAGCTGTGAGCCGCCTGATGAAGGTGCTGGGAACTGAGCTCGGGTTCTGTGGATGAGTAGTAGGGCTCCCACCCAGGGAGGCATCTCTCCAATCTGTAAAGTAATCCTTAAACCTCATTCTCCATGCTTTCCAGATGTTTCATGGAACAATCACAAAAGAGCTCATCAATCATGAGGAATGGAGTCACTACAATGAAAATATAATCAAAGATCAGAAAGATTTTGTTTTTGTGAAGTACAACAGCCTTCATCTGAAATCCCTGGACAGTTTGCAGTCATGCATCTCGCTTAAAGTGTGCATCTGCTCCAACAATTTTATTATAGACATTCACCCACTTCAAAGCTGTATAAAGTTAGTCAAACTTGATCTCCATGGAAACCAGGTAAGCAGTAATGACTGTGTGTGTAAATTAACCATGTCACCTCTTTATGATGTTGCTGCCACTTCCAGTAAGAATAGAAGGAAAGCTTAAAAATAAAAAATGAGGTGTGTAAACACAAAATCTAAAAAATGTAAGTAAAATTTAATGCAGATGTATAAAATGCATGATCTGTTGTCTTTGACTTCTTAATGCACAGTCTTATGAAGAATATGTCTTGTCTAATAGGCTGACTAGACACAGTGGATGGACTTGCACTGGGGAGCGAATGGTGACAGTGACAGCACAGTGGGTAGTAACAGGGATGACAGAGGATATGACCTCCAGTGGGGGGACTATGGGAAGGTCCCAGTGGGGATGAGGGTATAAAGATAATGAAGATTGTTTGAGATGTTTTGTATGAAGTTCACAAAAAGTTAAATAAAATTTAAAAGATGGTCTTAATTTCTTAACTTTGTGTTGGATCCCTTGTTTATAAATTTAGAGATGGCCTATTACTAAAGACTTTCACTGAAAGATCTACATCCATATATGTTCTACACTTATGTTGAAAGTGTATGTGTGTGTGTGTGTGTGTGTGTGTGTGTGTGTGTGTGTGTTCTGCTGTCCTCCCAGGCCAGAAGATGGCGTCAGATCCTGGAACTAGAGACCCAGGTGGCTGGGAATAATCGCAGGTTATTCCAAATCTTCACCGTGTTGTGTAGCTTTGTACCCAGGATTTGGATAATTGGAAAAAATGTTTTAAATTATTTATTAGGAACTTGCCATTTGGGGAATATTGATGATATTCCATCCTATTTGTATGAGTGTTAAAATATTTTTAATGTTACTTCAGATAAAGACTCTTGAACAAAGAAAGTTCTGGAGTGGGCTGAAGAATCTGAAGGTTCTCTGCCTCCACGATAATGGCTTCTCTAGGCTGAAGAGCATCTGTGTGCTGTCTGCATGCCCCAGCCTGGTGGCCCTCACCATGTTTGACTGCCCAGTGAGCCTGAAGAAGGGCTACAGGCACGTGCTTGTGAACAGCATCTGGCCACTCAAAGCCCTGGACCACCACGTGATTTCCGACGAGGAAATCATTCAGAACTGGAATCTTCCTGAGAGATTCAAAACCTACGACCACCAGCTGTTCTTCAACATCTGCCCAGCCTTGAGAAAGGTAAGTCACTTAATTAGCATTTCTTTTAAAATAAGTTCATAGCCATAACATTTTAGCTTCTAGATTCTAGGTTTAAATATATAATCTATTTAATAATACTTTTAACTTTTAAATAAAATATTCACATATGAATGCATTTTATGGCTTTATCTCTGAAAAAAATAAAAGCTTGCATCTTCTCTCATAAAAATATGGGTTTAAAATCAAATTGTATCTGAATATATTCCTTAACTGATGAAGACATTTATTTTGGTATATGTTGATTCATGTGGGAAATGTTTTTTTTGTTGAAATGTCATCAAAGATGATTTATATTATTATTGGAAGAGCATATTCTACCCAATTCTTAGTCAATGAATTTGGACACGTTCACATAACCAAATCACTATTGACTTATAAAATAATGGAAGAAGCTAAGAAGCTGTGCACCTGGAGGCTATAGTCTATTGGAGGACGTTGAAAGGATGGCCATTCTCCATAGCAACATGAGTTTTGGAAAGAACTCCAATGGGAGGATTAATTCTGCAGCTGTCAGAAAAATTTATGCCTAAGACTGAGTCATTCATTAGACAGGAAGTTGCAGAAGAGTGTGTATTTTTTTTTAACAGGACCTCCCTGTAGCCCCAGCCAACCTGTAAAACCTACTATGTAGAACAGGCTGGCTTCAGTCTCACATAGATCTACCTGCCTCTGCCTCCCGATGTGATCTTATGAGGCCATCACTGTATCTGTGATCTGTCATGGAACAAAAGTAACTGTGTGTCATGTGGGTACGTATGTAGAGAAAATCTAAGGAAGAATATTGAATTAATCTGGACAGTGGTCAGGCTGTGAGGGCACATGAACATGGGGCAGGGAAGATGTGTGGGAAGGCGGACAGGAAGTTGCAGAAGAGTGTGTATTTTTTTTAACAGGATCTCCCTGTAGCCCCAGCCAACCTGTAAAGCCTACTATGTAGAACAGGCTGGCTTCAGTCTCACATAGATCCACCTGCCTCTGCCTCCCGATGTGATCTTATGAGGCCATCACTGTATCTGTCATCTGTCATGGAACAAAAGTAACTGTGTGTCACGTGGGTATGTATGTAGAGAAAATCTAAGGAAGAATATTGAATTAATCTGGACAGTGGTCAAATCTGGACAGGTCAGGCTGTGAGGACACATGAACATGGGGCAGGGAAGATGTGTGGGAAGGCTTAAAATCGCAAAGGTGGTAGGCTCTGTGGGGACTGCATATAGTCCTTTAAATATTATGACAATGATAATGAGTTTGAAATATTACTTTTAATACATTTGAGTTTTGGTAATTATTTTGTAATAGCTTTTTAAAAATAAAAGGCAGTATCGAAGCCTAGTGTCTTACCCTTGACCGTAAAGGACAAAATTTACTTAGTCCTAGTCCTGTGGTATAGTACAATTGTAGGTGGAAATGTAGATGTTCAACCTGAGGATATTGAAAGGACTGAGGGACCAAGGTTTCTTCAAGGACATGATGGAAAGTCAGGGAAGGTAGCACAGTGGGAAAGAATGAGCATCGCAGCCCAGGAGTTTGCCCTTCGTACTACAGTCATCTGCCACAGCTGTGCTGGCTGCCTAATGTAATCACTCTCTCACACTGTGTGTCTAAAAATAAATGCTGTGGCCCCGTTATTTAAAAACAATTAGTCCAACATTTCCTGGCGAGGGGCTGGGGACTGGGAAGGAGAAGGTAGGGAAGGGAAGGAGCTAACAGGATGAAAGGGTTGAGGTTTAGGCTATATTGACTCTAACAGCTAGAAAGACCTTTCTGCAAGAATCTTACTCAGTCGTTAGCATTTCCTTTGACATGGGAAGATACTGCTCTTATTTCCCAGAAAAGAGAAGCATTCTGAGGCTTCAAAGTAACCCAGTATCAGACAGGGAGTCACCAAGCTGGGAATTCAAGTTTCTTCTTTTCTGGGTCCTT